CCCCTGATCCCTGTGTTACTATTACAGACATCTGTCCCCTGATCCCTGTGTTACTATTACAGACACCTGTCCCCTGATCCCTGTGTTACTATTACAGATGCTGTGGACTAAGGACCTGAAGATGAACACAGTACATGTACAGGATGTTTGCCAGGCTGTGTGGCACCTGTGTAACCATGGTAGCCCAGGCCAGGTGTACAATATTGTCGACAGTTCTGACACAAGTAAGTAAACGTAACTTCATTAAATACCTGTTAATTATATTTCGTACATTTTTACGGGTGAAATATCATGAATTATCCATTTAATAAAAAACCTAGGTCAGAATGTTATATCTACACATGTGAAGATAGCACTTTTAGTATTGTCCAATCAGAATGGACCTTTTTATTCTCTGCATAAATTTTTAGTTTCAAGTTCAGAGGAAGTGACAGCAGAGTAAGTGGTTGTTTTGGTACAACATTGCAACATACATTATGGTATTTACATAATTACACAATTGATATAATTTTTGTTTAGAAATCTTACCAGATAAGAGCAGCAAATAGCAGAAGAGCTTTCAGTAACCCATTCAAAATGGCGTCTGCCTTGTGTGACATCATTCGGTCTTGGCATCAAATATTACGCTTCTGATTTCCACAATTCATTGCATGCAGCAATATTTGCATGGTTCTACTTTAGAAATGTAATAAAAACAATTTAATGGTTTTCCTGTTAAATACCATATCTGTTTCAGTTGTGTGGCAGAGTGTACTGATCTATATATGGGAGACATCTATGTATTATTTAATGTTACAATTCCCTAACCGGCTACATTGTCCATTTGAACGAACTGGAAAGTCAACTAATTTAACAGAAATGTTGATTAATATTCCAACCTCATTCACCTTGTTTCGTTGACAGCCCAAGGTAAAGTGTGCCACCTGGTGGCAGAACTGTTCAACGTCCAGTACGACTTTGTCGGCTCCATGTTCTCAAACATTGCCAGGGTAGGTAACTCTTGGTCAGTTATCCAGGATGCAGATTGCTGGAGTATTTAAATAACATCAGGCTGACCAAAATAAGTTGTTTGTAAATACTGGGCATTGATCTTTTAGGTTGCATTCACGTATCCAGCTTGAAACGGTTCAGGTGGCGTAGAAATATTCCACGATAGACGAATAGACTTGGACTGTTGGCAGAGCTAAAACTTGCACAGTTTTGGAGTTTCATGATAAAGAAATAATAATTCAACAACTTTTCAAGATTAATATGTCATGCTTCTACTTTATTATATAATGTTTCCTAAAATATAAAGAAATAGTGCAAACTAGCAATATTCAGCATTTTAGTTTCGGTCAGGCACATCTGGACCCCTCAATTTACACGTGCCAAATTCCTGAGGCCAGCCTGAGTTCAGATCTGAGCCTACTGATTTCTTTTCAGCTTGTTTGAACTGTTGAACCAGATACGTGAATGTGGCCTTAGTTATTTGTGATGAATTTCCTTTCAAATTTAGACAGGACTATGGTATAAATTCTCACAAAAGTGAGAGAAATGTTCATGACATGGAATTGCCTGTCTTTTAACATGTTCCTATTAGGTATTATGAAAACTTTCCTTCAAATGGAGCCATAACTAAGCTGTGTTTTCAATGGTACTTCCAAAACCCTAACCTATATATTTAGTGACAACATTTGATGTTATTTTGAAAGGATTTCTGTTGAATTCTAAGTCTTTCTTTTAATTTTCGTTTTATTGAGAGTTACTTCCCTTATTTAGGTAAACATGACAAGTGTGGTGGAGGAAATCAATGACAAACACATGACACCCTGGGCAGAGGCGTGTCAAACCGACAATGTGTCCAACACCCCCCTCGACCCCTTTATTGACGAGGTAAGTCTTGTTATCGACACCCTGGGCAGAGGCGTGTCAGACCGACAATGTGTCCAACACCCCCCGCGACCCTTTATTGACGAGGTAAGTCTTGTTGTGAACCCTGTGTTATTCAGTTTACATGTTTATTTACTTGAAGGACCAAAAATCCTTGACCCCCATATAATTCCATCTGAAGCCCAGTATTCTTGGAACAATCCCTAGTTGCTGAGGTAAAAGAACTTTTGACCTTCAAGCGCCCATTGTAATAAGACTGTTGTTACCCACCCAGAAATAGTTCAGGGATACAGGACTAACGCAGGATGTCCCTCCATCTGACCGTCAATCTGTTTACATTTCCTGTCCTAAAACTGTCTTAAGAACAAACTATTGCACAATGCTAAAGCTTGTTATGTGGGTTGCCCTAGGGAAAGGTCTTTATTTATTTAGCCTAATTCTTGATAATGACATGTCAGGGTTGTAAATTTATTTTACTAAAAGTAAAAATATTTTTGTCCAGATTCAATCTTCTGAACAAATGATCACAGAGAAGTGTTTTACCATAGAGGGGAGGACAAATCCTATTAATATTTAGTGTGTGGTTCATTGAAGTCCAGATCACTGTTTAACTAAAATTTAAGTTATTCAGAACCTTTCTCTTAGGTAACGAGTCCAAACTTTTTATGGAATAGCAAACATTTCAAATAAACAGCCTCATCCTTATGTACATAATTGATGTGCCTCCAGATACTACTCTAGGTATTTTGGGATATGGTCAGCCCCTGGATGCTGTTGGTGGTGTTGTGATCTATCGTTGTTGTTGTTGTGTAATAGTTTTGTTGTTTGTTGTGTTGTTGTTGTTGTGTAATAGTTGTGTTGTGGTCTGTTGTTGTTGTTGTGTAACAGTTTTGTTGTGGTCTGTCGTTGTTGTGTAATAGCTGTGTTGTGGTCTGTCTTTGTTGTTGTTGTGTTATAGTTGTGTTGTGGTCTGTCGTTGTTATTGTTGTTGTGTAATAGTTGTGTTGTGGTCTGTCGTTGTTGTTGTATAATAGTTGTGTTGTGATCTATTGTTGTTGTGTAATAGTTGTGTTGTGGTCTGTCGTTGTTGTTGTAGAATAGTTGTGTTGTGATCTATTGTTCTTGTTGTGTAATAGTTGTGTTGTGGTCTGTCGTTGTTGTTGTATAATAGTTGTGTTGTGATCTATTGTTGTTGTTGTGTAATAGTTGTGTTGTGGTCTGTCGTTGTTGTTGTGTAATAGTTGTGTTGTGGTCTGTTGTTGTTGTTGTTGTGTTATAGTTGTGTTGTGGTCTGTCTTTGTTGTTGTTGTGTAATAGTTGTGTTGTGGTCTGTCTTTGTTGTTGTTGTGTAAAAGTTGTGTTGTCATCTATTGTTGTTGTGTAATATTTGTGTTGTGATATATTGTTGTTGTGTAATAGTTGTGTTGTCATCTATTGTTATTATTGTGTAATAGTTGTGTTGTGATCTATTATTGTTGTTGTTGTTTTGTAATAGTTGTGTTGCGGTCTGTCTTTGTTGTTGGTGTGTTATAGTTGTGTTATGGTCTGTCATTGTCGTTGTTGTGTAACAGTTGTGTTGTGGTCTGTTGTTTACAGGAACTGCTGTACAACAAACATCTATACCTGGATGGGAAGAAGCTGTTGGAAACAGGATTTATCTACCAAATACCCGCGCCCAGGCTGGAACATCTCCGCGAGGTAACCATAGAAACACACTCTAAATTAAACACCTCAGCACATTGTCTAAAACACCTGCTGATAAACCATGTGACACTCATGTGATTGTTTCTGTAGAAATCAGTGAAACGTTTTAAGTCAAGTGTTGTATATTTTTTTGCATAACAAGCATGGAAGTGAGTCGGTAATAATGCATCACTTGTACTAAAAACCAGAGTGTTATTGGTGTCCAAATCATGATGATAGAATCTGGTGTGGAAAAACCCGCTTTAAGTGGTTTCTAAATGAAAAAAACCCTAATACTCCAACTCTTAAACAGGAGATCATCTTAAAGGATTTGAGAAAGAAATCTCGATCAATTGAGGCAAGATCCTTAAAAGTTAAACCATCCACTAGTCTCGGGTTTGGACATACAAGAATCTATCATTTTTACTCACACTCCCGAGATAAGGAATGATTCTAATAGTAAAAAGTGTATGTTTATCATATATTTCAGATGCTTGAGGATTACATCAGCCTGGGCCTATTTCCTAAAACTCTCCTCAAACAGGAGATTTCTAGCAAGGGAGATAACTCTAGTGACATTGGTGACAAAGATGAATGAAGATCACATGACTTTCAATCAAACTTTAAATACCATTCCTCCAGTATCAACATGTTTGTCTGGATATCCTCCCACACGACCAATCAAGTTGTCTCCCTTGGACCAATCAAGTCCTGTACACTTGTCTCTCATCTTTGCAATTGCCTGGACAAGTTTTGCAATAGTTTTATTAGATATTAGACGAGGGCATACTACGAGGAAGTCCTGCCCAAGCTCAGTAGCTGTAGTAGTTGTATTAGATATTAGACGAGGGCATACTACGAGGAAGCCCTGCCAAAGCTCAGTAGCTGTAGTAGTTTTATTAGATATTAGACGAGGGCATACTACGAGGAAGCCCTGCCCAAGCTCAGTAGCTGTAGTAGTTGTTGTAAGCGGTGATGATATTGAGTCACAATATCTGTAGTATGCTGTGTTCTATACATGTATTGACACATATTGTGTAATAAGTTATTCTGTTAAGAATCAACATGAGCCAAAATTTACTGTTTTTATTTGTTACTTGAAAATGAGGAGATTTTTAAGATATTTTATATTGGCCTGGAGCCAGCTTGTTGTAAAGGTGTAGCTTTAATGACTACTTGATGATAGTTTATGAAATCCATTTATAGTGACCTTGTTTTTGTTGATATGTGACACAAGAAATATATTACATATTAAGTGCTAACATTTTCCACGGTTTAATATACATACTCACAATGCTACACGACTGATTATTTAACGAAGCAGTACGGTATCCAGGACTGAGGAGAAAGGAGTAATCTTCAGGAAAAAGCTGTGATCCACAGGACAGAGCTGTGATCCACAGGACAGAGCTGTGATCCACAGGACAAAGCTGTGATCCACAGGACAGAGCTGTGATCCACAGGACAAGGCTTATGATCCACAGGACAGAGCTGTGATCCACAGGACAGAGCTGTGATCCACAGGACAGAGCTGTGATCCACAGGACAGAGCTGTGATCCACAGGACAGAGCTGTGATCCACAGGACAGAGCTGTGATCCACAGGACAGAGCTGTGATCCACAGGACAGAGCTGTGATCCACAGGACAGAGCTGTGATCCACAGGACAGAGCTGTGATCCACAGGACAAGGCTTATGATCCACAGGACAGAGCTGTGATCCACAGGACAGAGCTGTGATCCACAGGACAGAGCTGTGATCCACAGGACAGAGCTGTGATCCACAGGACAGAGATGTGATCCACAGGACAGAGATGTGATCCACAGGACAGAGCTGTGATCCACAGGACAGAGCTGTCAATACTGGAAATTCTGTATTAGAGCTCTGTTTAGTATTTTGTGATGAAATGTTGAGAAGCAGGCCAACATTTTTTTGGTTTTAGTTTTACAGACTTTTTCAAAAGCTTGAAGGAAAGTAGGAAAAGCAATAAAATGTTTTTTTTGTCCAATTGGTATGATCCACGTATCATACAAAAAGGTCCCATTTCCCAGTTTTGTTTTTGATTTTGTCAAACATAATTTGTCAATTAATTCTGAAATCAATTAATATTGCGGAAAATTCAATGTATGACCGTTTGTAAACTTCAGATAAGATTATTTAACCTTAATGATACTTAGTGTTTCGTCTCCACTTCAGGTACAGGTATGTACTGGCCTTTTATTGTTACTGCAGTGTCACTGTTTTTGACCACTAACTAAGCATCTGTGTTCATTCCCATCTCTAACCACAGGATTGCTAAATGGAACTGTTATAAAGCAAAGAGTTGCTTCCCCTGACACAAAACTTCCTATTATATTATAAACTTTACATATCGTTCATTAATGCATTGACTCAAAAGGATCTGTTAGTTTTACACTTGTACAGTCAAGCCTGCTCAAGAGACCACCTCAAGTAGGAGACCACCTGTATTAGGAGACCACCTGTACAACTCCCCATTATTGGCATTTTCATTCCTAAGAGACAACCTGTGTTAGGAGACCACCTGTGTTAGGAGACCAACTGTGTTAGGAGACCACCTGTATGAGGAGACCACTTTATGACCTCCTCAAAGGTGGTCTCCAAAATAGATTGACTGTATTGTAGTTAGAGGTTAAATATAATTCATGAGTTAAACTTTATTCTTCAGATATTAACTGTTATCGATTCATAACAATTGTCACTCTGTGTGTAAATATTCATAGTTTATATATGAATATATGAATAATGTAATGATAAATTGCAGGAAATATTCAGTGAAACCTGTATAAATCTCTACCCTGAGGGATCCCATACACTGGATGGGTTAGACAGGTGTATAAATCTGTACCCTGTGGGATCCCATACACTGGATGGGTTAGACAGGTGTATAAATCTCTACCCTGAGGGATCCCATACACTGGTTGGGTTAGACAGGTGTATAAATATCTACCCTGTGAATTAGGAATATTGTTGTTTGTGGGTTTTGAGAGTTCATTTCTTTATGTCGAAAAACTCAGGGGTCAGACAAGACGGGTTTCACTGTATTGAGGTTTGTCATTTAAAACATTTTTTGTTTGTCCTCTGTTAATTTATAAGCCTCTAATGTTGCAATCTTGTCTTTCATGACCTCGTTACTTAGTCATGACCTTGTGACTTAGCCATGACCTTTTGACATAGTCATGACCTCGTTACTTTAGCCATGACCTTGTGACAAAGTCATGACCTCGTTACTTAGCCATGACCTTGTGATATAGTCATGACCTTGTGACATAGTCATGACCCTGGTACATAGTCATGACCTTGTGACAAAATCATGACCTTGTGTCATAGTCATGACCTTGTGACATAGTCATGACCTTGTGTCATAGTCATGACCTTGTGTATATATACTTACTTGAATTCTCAGTACACGGTGTATATATACCTACTTGAATTCTCAGTACATGGTGTATCATAGTCATGACCTTGTGACAAAATCATGACCTTGTGACATGTTTTTTACACATGTAAGATTGTGTTTCAATTTAACACACAAGATTTCAATTGTTTTGGTATTTTCTGACAGCTGACTTTATGGATCGACACATTGTGGCTTGTTTCCAGTCGTTCAGAGTCGAGTCACTGGCCGTTTACACTCCTTCCTCTGACGGAATTAACATTAAGGTGTTATAGAGTTTAAGAGAGGGATGTGACAAGATTAGACGATGACTCAAATTCTCAGTACACGGTGTATATACCTTCTCGAATTCTCAGTACATGGTGTATATATACCAACTTGAATTCTCAGTACACGGTGTATATACCTACTCAAATTCTCATTACACGGTGTATATACCTACTCAAATGCTCAGTACACGGTGTATATATACCTACTCGAATTCCCAGTACACAGTGTATATATACCTACTTGAATTCTCAATGACCTTGTGTATATATACTTACTTGAATTCTCAGTACACGGTGCATATATACCTACTTGAATTCTCAGTACACTGTGTATATACCTACTCGAATTCTCAGTACATGGTGTATATATACCTACTCAGATTCTCAGTACACGGTGTATATATACCTACTCGAATTCCCAGTACACAGTGTATATATACCTCCTTGAATTCTCAGTACACGGTGTATATACCTCCTCGAATTCTCAGTACACGGTGTATATACCTCCTCGAATTCTCAGTACACGGTGTATATACCTAGTCAAATTCTCAGTACACGGTGTATATACCTACTCGAATTCTCAGTACATGTTGTATATATACCTACTCAAATTCTCAGTACACGTGTATATCCCTACTCAAATTCTCAGTACATGGTGTATATACCTACTGGAATTCTCAGTACATGGTGTATATACCTACTCGAATTCTCAGTACATGGTGTATATATACCTACTCAAATTCTCAGTACACGGTGTATAAATACCTACTTGAATTCTCAGTACACGTGTATATACCTACTCAAATTCTCAGTACATGGTGTATATATACCTACTTGAATTCTCAGTACATGGTGTATATACCTACTCGAATTCTCAGTACNACCTACTTGAATTCTCAGTACACGGTGTATATATACCTACTTGAATTCTCAGTACACGGTATAAATACCTACTTGATTTTTAGAATCAACCTGAATTCCTTTCCATTATCATTTAAGAGTGTTGTTCCAAAGTGTTAATTTATTAAAGCACTCTAAAGTATTGCTCAGTAAAATAAAATAAAATCTAGACTTGTGTTGTTATAGAAATTTGAAGGAAATAAAAATTCGCCTCAGATCTGTTATTATTATGTATTTGTTCATGTGCACCAAACTCTATTGATTAATAATACTGCAAGATTATATTGTATATTCTGTTTACATTCCCACCTTAAGATCACAATGTTGTTACCAATTAATGTTCTCAGTTTTCTGAAAACATTCAGACTAGTTTAACATTACATTGAAGGTAGACATATTCCATTGAAAAAGAACCAATGGCATCAATCTGGTTTTATAGATGTGTCTCCACCATGACATTCAATGTCAGGATTTTGTTTGTTTGTGCTTTTATACATATTTTGTGTCATTTAAGGACAGGACAGGTTTTCTGTTATGAAATTGTTATAAGGAGTTTGAGATATTCTATGAAGAATGCTGTAATGATATAGGGGGGGGGGGTAATTCACATTTTCGGTGTGCTGTTAACATGTTTTGAATTACATTATCCTGTCAATACTACTTTTCCTGGTAATATCATGTTCATTTTACATTTTCCTATTACCATATTCTACCTTGTAAGTGCACTAGCTCCTATAAGCACACCCATCCACCTTTTTTCTGGGAAAGAGGATGCTTGTGCCTGATTAAAACCAGTAAAAAAAATGTTGATTACTACACTGACCTGTCAATATAATCTCCAGTCTTTTGACCAAAACTTTGTACCTAATAGCACAATTTCTGGTTCAAGATGAGGCGATTTTTCTCTGTTAAGCTATTTGATTTGTCCTTTTAAAGATTGCACAAATGTTTAGGAGGTCAATATGAACAGCTATGGACGGCGTTGTTTTTGGCTGGTTGGAGCAGGAAAGGGGTTTGTAAAGCCCCCTCTTTTTGTGCACAGTGCGCTAATTAGGTAGAATACAATAATATCAAATTTTCTGTTAATATAACTTTTTCCTGTTATTATCACATTTTCCTGTTAACATCACATTTTTCTATGAATATCACATGTCCTGTTAACTCATTCACCCCTGAAATTTCATAACGTTTTATTTCATCCTTTGAATCGCAAGAGTTCAAATATGTCTTCAGGGGTGAATGAGTTAAAATCACATGTCCTGTTAATATCAATTTTACTGTAAATATCACATATTCCTGGTAACAATAACATATCAACTTTTCTGTATTTAAATTATTTGCTTTTCATTCCATTGGGTGTGCAAGGATAACATAGCAAACAGTATTTATATAATCAGAATCGTTCTAGGATGAAAATGTACATTTTTTTTTTTATGAATTTTTGCCAAGTAAGTGTTCAATTCTGTATTTTACCATACCATGCCATTAGAAGACTTAACACCATCAGGCTAGCGATTCCATCGATGTTTTATTATTATGTCTCCTGTGCTATGACATTCCAGATCATGTTATTGTAATGTTTGGTATATGTACACTAGGAATGCAGTATGTATTATATATAGACCTAGATTTACCTCCACTCTTCTTTGTTATGAAATGAGATTTGTGCTAATGTACAGTTAGTGTATTGCCTTAGGATGAGGTACATAGTACTTTTGTCAACCCGAGGTAAATTATATCAACTGTAGACAAAGTCTGATGTCAGTATACCTAATAAAATATCTCACCCCCTTGGGGGTAAGAAAGGGGAATCTCAACCGGAGGGGGGAGATTCCTAAGTTGCCCAACTCCAGGCTTTTTATGTTTATCACTTTCATTGGCCTTGGTGTCAGTGTTTGGCTTGGTTTGGTTTAGTATTGTTTCACGTCCTATCAACAGCTGTGGTCATTTAAGGATGGCCTCCCCTGTGTGCGCGAGGCATGCTTATGTGTTTTGGGAGGCTGCGATATGATCGTATTTCTCTCCTTGTGATAGCGCGGAACTGATGCCGTCTTTATAGTGCTACCTTACTGAAAAATACTGCAGAAGACACCCACCACGACACCCCACCCGATCACATTATACTTACAACGGCCAAACCAGTCGTCCCACTCCTAAATTGCTGAGCGTTAAGCAGGAGTAGAAACTAGCATTTTTACAGACTCTGGTATGTCTCGGCCAGGGAACAGTACCACTAATAGGCCCATTCCCGTGATTATTTTTTGTTGACTGTCTGCTGTACGCCTTTGTGTACTGTTGTTTCTCTAATTGTTTACTGTGTTTTGTTTGTGATGTTTATTGCTTTGTTGACTGTCTGCTGTACGCCTTTGTGTACTGTTGTTTCTATAATTGTTTACTGTGTGTTGTTTGTGATGTTTATTGCTTTGTTGACTGTCTGCTGTACGCGTTTGTGTACTGTTGGTTCTCTAATTGTTTACTGTGTTTTGTTTGTGATGTTTATTGCTTTGTTGACTGGCTGCTGTACGCGTTTGTGTACTGTTGTTTCTCTAATTGATTACTGTGTGTTGTGAGGTTTATTGCTTTGTTGACTGTCTGCTGTACGCCTTTGTTTACTGTTGTTTCTATAATTGTTTACTGTGTGTTGTTTGTGAGGTTTATTTCTTTGTTGACTGTCTGCTGTACACGTTTGTGTACTGCAGCTGTACACGTTTGTGTACTGTTGTTTCTCTTATTGTTTACTGTGTGTTGTTTGTGAGGTTTACTTTTGTTTCTGTTGTGGTATCTGTGTTGTATGTTTCTACTCCTCTGATATAAGTGTATGGTTTTACCATGTCTGTATGTTTGTTTTGTTTACAGCCATCTGTTTGTGTTGTTTATATTGTCGATTTCTGTTGATCGTCTTACATGATAATCGTGTGTCGGTTTTTCTTCTAGAAAATATAACCTTTGAGGCTAACATAGATACTACTTATATGTAAAAATGCAGGAATATTGGAAAGTAAAAATGGGGAAATCCCAGCATCAGGATAGCAGATGGGGGGAAGAAGGCATCAGCATAGCCAATCATATGTAACAGTGGGGAAATCCCGGCATCAGCATAGCCAATCATATATAACGATGGGGGAAATCCTGGATTCAGCATAGCCAATCATATGTAACGACTGGGAAATCCCGGCATCAGCATAGCCAATCATATGTAACGACTGGAAAATCCCAGCATCAGCATAGACAATCATATGCAACAATGGGGAAATCCCGGCATCAGCATAGCCAATCATATGTAACGATGGGGGAATCTCTTGCGTTTTTATCACTGAATAATTAGGTTAAAGTATGGGGGAATCCCCAAGGACGACATAAATCATTGGTAATACCTTCATATCTTGTAGTTGGGGTATTGCCGACATCATGTAGAGGTTACCAGAGGTCTTGTAACGGGTACCCCTGACCGCTGGCCCCATCGATCCTTCATCATTACCACCACTTTATCGTAGAAACAATCCTTTTTACATGTTTGTAGTATTACCCTACTCCTGGATTTAGATTTTATACTGATTTGTACTTATTATCAATTTATGTCAAATCGCACATTTTCTTGTAACGCATGGGTGGTGCGCAGGCCTGTCCCTTTGTCTGTTTATATACGTATACACATGTTCAGACAGAGGAGTGGAGATCATTGCCGTACCCGCTAAATATCAAACTACTTAATTGTGCTTCACATTGTTTTTTTATTAAATGTATTATTCCATGAAAGGGTCTTTGTATTTGTTTTATCATCGAACTATAATGTTATGGTGCTTGTTTGTCCATCCCAACTCCGTTTTGCATAACAATATGAATTCCTGCAGGCCAATATCCTGCTCCAATATCAGAAAGGTTTTCTCCTCATTGAATGGGTTTGTGAGGTCCGGAGGCCATTAGCTGAAATCATTGTTACTATAGATAAAACAAACCCAGCACAGTGGCTGAAATTGCCAAATAAACTCAAATTTCATACGCCGATTCTTTACTGAAAATGCTTGCTTCGGAATGATTTTAATGTTTCCAAGGTCAAAGGCAAAGGTCACTGTTACTATATATAGAACATTAAAGATACTAAACCATGTCATTCCTTGACCTCAGTACCGATGAGGGGATGGGAAGGGTTAGTACTGCTCTACGATACCAGAGACGTATAATACAGAGATTGGCAACTTGCTCTTGGCCTTACCATTGGCCACTGGTATCGCGAGTTACGTATTATACGTCTCAGACGATACTGTGTTTTCCTTGTAAACAAAAAATAGGAATCAGAATTTTCTTTTATATAATTTATTTTATAAGACCTTTTTTAACAATATACTATTCAAGCAAACCCCTACACACTTACGCACTCAATTTACTTTGGTTGGCGCACGTGCAAATGATCACCAAACATAATCATCACCTATGCTTTTTTTTATCCACGCATACCAATATAAGATACTATAATACATATGTACATACCTGTGATATATGGAGAAAGAGAGTTATCCAACAGTGTAGACAATATGAGGTCATATTTTCGGAGCAAAAAACACAGACCACTTATATTACATGAAAATAAAAATAGAAATATAATAGGGCGTAACTACTATTCGCGTACATAGGATATGCATATACATTAACACACTTTCATACATGTAATGGGTAGTTCCGATCGTTGGTATTTTTCTTACATATCTCGAGTAACACTAGTCCGCTAAAACTGACCATAATCGCAGGCTCAAAAATTCTGATCGGTCGCCTGTTTATGGTCAGCTATCGACTGCTCTAAACAACACGGGGGGACTGTCGTCGAAATATGGCGACAGCGGTTGCGAGAGTTAAACATGTTTATCAGAGAAAGTAATCATACCTTTACTTCAGCTGATTCATTTCTCACTCACTTGACTAGATGTCATGTCCATACTCGATACAAGATGGACGCTACGTATACATCGTTTTATTCAATTGATGTGCTTTCGACTGCTCACATCGACAGCCATCGATCAGAATTTTTGAGCAATTATGGTCAGTTTAAGCGGACTAATGTAACACGAGATGTAGGTATCTTAAAAACTCACCAGTCTTTGTTTCTACATTGAACATGTATCTAGCACAGCAGATGGATATATCGAATGACCACAATAGCTATACGCTTAGACGAAGGAAATGTTTGTAATGAGAGTGTTTATATATGCTCCTACTGGAATGGTCTTTTGTGGTCATGGTGTGGACATACCTTTTATTTATATATTGTTGAGTCGGCTCGGTCCCAGGATCCTTTAAACTGTATAATGTAATCCCTTCATCTGTGGGAAAGGGGTATCCTGTATATTTATGGTTATTTCCCATGGTCCCCTTATCCATCACGTCCATCTTGGCTGTCACAGCATAAGGACCTTTGGTCAAGTTATCTTTAGTAGCAATACAGCAAGATGATATAAGTAAATATTTACCTCTATTTCCCCTATCTGGCCCCAGCCCTAAGAGCGGTGAGAGGTACGCGTAACATCCTTGGTTTATACGACCTGTGTCCCGAATAGGGGCCATATCGCTTCTAGGGGGTTGGGGGTAACCTTTCTGTTTATGTCGACTCCCCCGGGGCCAATGATGCACCAGACCAAATTTAGTTAAAATCTCTGTTTTCTGAGGGAGTCGACTCTTAAAATGGTTATCATTGGTGCAGCGCTGAGCTCGCTTGGCCAAAGGATTCGCCAGACCGACACATGTTAAAATCCTTTCAGCCGTACAGATGGAGTAGGCTTTTTATAGATTTACCTTCATTCCCTAATTGGGTTCATATATCTATGTTAAAATGTACAAAACGTTATTGAGTTTTGATTGGAACAAAACTGTTCATCTGCAGGGCGTTATTTCTAAAATGATGGATTAAAAAGGTAATTAATGATAACAGTATGAAGACTTTTAAGTGAAAGACGGAAACGCTAACAATATGCATACATACGTTGTAACCATGCTTTAGTAAAAAATATCTTTTTCATGTAAAAGATGGGCATAAACGTTCACATTCCCATCGTTAACTATGTCTTTGATTCAAGGCACTGTCTATCGTCCATTGACGTTTGCAACAAATTACGTTCTTCAACCAACTCATAATCACATTGTCGATATTTTTTAACGTATTTATGTTACTATAAACTATAAGCAAACAAAAACAATAACAACTACCGGAAGTCCTGTCCCAAGTTTGTGTTAACATCAGTGCCTTCAAATCGGTGCCACACCGCCACGCCGCCACGTCGTCACGTCGTCACGCTTTGTGTTAACATCACGCTCTTGATTGATACAACGTCGTCACGCTCTGTGTTTACGTCACGCTTTTGATTGATACGACGTGGTCACACTTTGTGTTTACGTCACCCTTTGTGTTAACATCACGCTCTTGATTTATACAACGTCGTCACGCTCTGTGTTTACGTCACGCTCTTGATTGATGCAACGTCGTCACGCTTTGTGTTTACGTCACGCTTTTGATTGATACGACGTCGTCACACTTTGTGTTTACGTCACGGTTTGGAGCGATACCACGTCGTCACGCTGTGTGTTTACGTCACGGTTTGGATGGGCGCAACGTCGCATTTTGAGTCGTATGAGCCGCACGCGAAGCCTGTGTTACCCCTGAAGCCGAGGCAGACGAAGCAGAAGGTGCAGCAACAATCCACACACGTCATGTGCTTGCATCCTTCAGTGTGCTCTATCAAGGTGTTGCATTCTGGACATGCGCGAATGGAGGGGCAACCGCTGATGTCTGCAATTTCTTTTCTTTCGCAATGACTGAGCATCTGGTGAACTGAACTTTTCTTGCATTGGTGTTTTACTGTCCAGCCATCCAAGCAATACCAACAAAACCTAAACTCACCCTTCCCAGCGCTTTTACAATGTAAACAATTCACGTACGCATTTGTAGGATCCTGTCGTTCACAAACAAGGCGACAGGAGGGACATTCTCGCACGCCTTCCGAATTATTTATCCAGTTCCGGTTGATGCGCGATTCGAAAAGGAAATGCTCATCATGTGACAGACATGCTTTTTCGGCTACTTCTACGAAAAGCCATTCTTTGTCGCAGTTGCGACCGTTGACGTCAGCAAAGCACCGGAAGGATGACCTTTGTTTTGTGAGTTGACTCCAGCAGTATCCGTACAGGTTGTCTGGGGCTGTAACAAAGTAACGAGATAATTAAGTCAGCAGGTGTTTGGACAAAGATGTGAAGGTTGTACTCGTATGATGCCAGTGTTGGAAATTTCGTCATGATGACGTTGATTGAATCTTTCGAGAGTAGATTGTGGCTTTTCTGGTTAGAGAATGAATGAACATGTATGTGCAGTTAATTAAACGTACCTATATCCTTAATATAGGTAAATAGTGAGCAGAAAGTGTTGTCATCGAAAACAGAAATATCCAAAGAAAGAGGGAAAGAGACAGAGAAAGAAGACGAGAGAAAAAGAGAGGAGACAGAGATACAAATGTAAATGTATACATACAGACACACAGATAGAGAGAGAGAAAAGAGAGGAGAGACTGCAGAGATATACAGAGAAAGAGGGAGAGAGAAAAAGAGAGGAGACAGAGATACAAATGTAAATGTATACATACAGACAAACAGGTATACAGAATAAGAGGGAGAGAGAAAAGGAGAGTGGTTGGAGAGAGGAGGAGAGATAGAGGTATACAACTAAAGCGGAGGAGACCAGAGAGAGAAGGATAGGAGACGGAGTGGGACAGTAGGAACGAATGAAGTTACCAAGCTTAACACAATAAACTTACTAATCGCGTGACCACACGACATTTCCACTCGGGGTCCCTCCTCCCAGTCATTCACTATATCTGGAGACAACGTTTGGTGAATTACCGACACTTGTCTGTTGCTGTTGTGTACGACTAGCTGTAGAGGGCGCTGTATGTCTCCTACCAGTTCACTTCCCTCCACAACCCGGCCGTTGTCCACTATGTCGAGGTTTATTTGGTCCTGGCCTATAACTTGAGCTATGACAGCTGTAGCCTCGTCTACACTGTTGCTCTGAAACGATACATTCCTTCATTTCTAGACGTTTTTTTACACATATTTCAAGCTGGGAACACCTGTCTTATGATTATACGAAAACATAAATACAGGAGGATGTTTAATTTCAAATGAAATCACGCAGAGGGCAGATCACTCTAATTTCCACATCATGCTTATTTTAAGATAAAAATCCGTACGTCAAGAAGCAATATTATACGTTTTCATACGTTTACCTTTCTAATCGTCGGGATTCATCATAATCGGCCATCGGAAGCATATAAATTTATGAACGTTAATAAATGACGAAACTTCCACAACACTGATGACGACACCAAATACTGACGACAACGTCACAACACTGGTGACACCAAATACTCACAACAGCGTCACGACACTGATGACGACATGCAAATAATTACGACAACGTCACGACACTGACGACGACATCACAATACTGACGACAACGTCACAATACTAAAGACAACGTCACAAAACTGATGACGACATCACAATACTAAAGACATCGTCACGACACTGATGACGACATCACAATACTGACGACAACGTCACGACACTGACGACGACACCACAATACTGACGACAACGTCACAGCACTGATGACGACATTAAAATGCTGACGACAACGTCACAATACTAAAGACAACGTCACAACAATGATGACGACATCACAATACTAAAGACAACGACAACGTCACAGCAATGATGACGTCATCACAATACTAAAGACAACGTCACAACAATGATGACGACATAACAATACTGACGACAACGTCACAATACTGAAATACTTTAATACATTTATAATATAGTAGAAGGAAATATCTTACCAGGGTAAAGCTGGCTTGTCTTACGGACGTCATACTGACACTCTGGAATGTACCCTTGGATCCTGTAATTAGAAATTAACGTAGGTTAAAATCTTGTCTCATTATTCATACTAAACCCCTACAGCTGTGTCATAACTGTACAGACTGACTTCTATTGAACTTCTATATTCATCTTAGTTTTAATGACCACCGTATCTATGTTTGTACGAAAGACATGACAATTTTTATGATATCAACATTTCGCGTTGATCACCATTCAGAAATCTCGTAATTGATTTGATAAATAAACTCACACAGGAGAAATATACCCGTAAACAACTCAAGTTTCACTGAGTGAACACACAGACACGTTATCAATCACATTTAGTGTGATAGAACGTCTTAAGTTAGCGGTGTGCACATTTCTATCAGATTTAGAAAAAAAAAGTGAATGGCGTGAGACATGTGAAAGTATTTAACACTTTCCTACCCTTTCTTGTCTTTGCTGTGCAGTCTGTGCCTCCCGCGGAGCAGTTCTTTTCCCCATGCGACATCGTACGTGCCCGTTTTGCCTTACTGCCTCCCTGTTCTCCGAGACCGTCACCAGTATTGGTCTTTGAAGTACAAGACCTCGTTTGTATTGTCCATTCCATCAATGGACAAGATTTCGTTTGTATGGTCCGTTTTACCGTAACCGATGATTTTCCTTTCATTTTTCCTGTTCTTGATTTTGTTGACTTTGTCTTTTGGTCCTCGTCCGGAATGTTAGTGGAATCCCTTACCTTCGATTTGTTGTGTTTTGTTACCGTGGAAGATTGTACTTTTACAGCATTTGCTGCCCTTTCCCGGTTGTCGTTATGAGGAATATTTCCGGAAACACCAGCTGTTTGCCTTACCTCTTTGTACGTTATTGTTTTTAATGTTACTGAACTTCTCGCCGTCATTTCCTTGTGGTCGTTGTTCGGGATGGTCTTGGAGGCACCAGCTCTTGTTTGTATTCGCATTACCTCGTTCGTTTCTTCTTTAGTAAACGCTGACGATGTTTCATCATCACGTGATTTATGTGGACTCGATTCTTTCCCGCTATCATTCGGAACTGTTCCGGAAATACCGGACTTCGCTGTCTGCTGTTGGTCGTCCATTTTTTCCTCGACAGCCGTTTTGGGCTGTGACGTCACACAACCTTGTATTTCCGTATTCTGCTCTGTTGTATCAGACGCATTCAGCATGTTCTCGATACCATGCCACCATTCAGCAGTGACCTTGAGGTCATTCAACGGAAATAGGTTTAGTTCCTCCTCTATGTTCTTCTGCATGTCCCAACCAATATTCAAAATGGCCTCATTGGACCCGAACATGTTCAATTGGGTGATAGATTTGACGAGACCGTCACATTTGTCAGCCTTCTGTAGACACCTCTGTATTTCAAGCCTGCATTGTTCCTTGCTGATGATCTGAGGAGTCGAGGGAAAGTCAACCATCTTGCGATATATCAACAGGGCGTTTTCATGTTCCTGGATCTTCTTCCCCAGCGATTTGCTCTGTCCCAGCAACATGTTGAGGTATACGTCAGCCTTCTTTTCTATATCGACGAGATCATGATGAGGGTGATTGTTGTATCTGCACATCTCACATACACACTCGTGACATTTCTCGCAATAGGAGACAAGCTTTCTCTCATGGACAGAACACGCCTTATGTTTGTTGGTCACCAAAATACGATGCAGTTCAGGTGCCACGTGTTTGGAGGCACAACCCTCATGGACAGGTTTGGTTGGCACGTCTTTGATGACGCCAGGACAGACGGAGTTTTGGCAGATTTGACACAGCCATAACTGACACTTTACACAGATGTATGGGACCCGCACAGCCTGTTTACATCCGGGTGACTCACACGTACATCGCTCTGCTTGGTTCGTCTTTAATAACGTTTCAAGGAGACGGGATACGTCTTTAAGTTCCGGCGGATTTGCGGACGGTGTATTGCACGCTGGACATTTCGCGTGTTCTTGTGTTGGAGACCGGAAGTGCTTCTTAATGCAGAGAGAACAGAACACACACCGGCACGTGAGCTGTTTCGGGTCTTTCAGTTTTAAATAACATATTGGGCAATTCAGAACATTGGTTTCCTCGTGCATCTCTGTTTCAGAAGTAGCCATTTGATTTAAAATCTGCAACAAAATTAACAAATGTGTTTATTTCAGGTGAGTTATTCATCAACACACTGAATATACATTGTCAATCAAGGTTTATACCGTAAAGCAAACATTCATAGAAATAAAAGTTTGAAGAAAATTTCGGGTGTTTTTGTGTCAGCTGGTGGAATTTCAGTCCCAGGGGTTGGCCGTAACCTTGTAACCTGACTGTCAGTCCCTGGGGTTGGTCGTAACCTTGTAGCCTGACTGTCAGTCCCTGGGGTTGGCCGTAACCTTGTAGTTGGACTATCAGTCCCTGGGGTTGGCCGTAACCTTGTAGCCTGACTGTCAGTCCCTGGGGTTGGCCGTAACCTTGTAGCTGGACCTTGTAGCTGGACTATCAGTCCCTGGGGTTGACCGTAACCTTGTAGCTGGACTTTCAGTCCCTGAGGTTGGCCGTAACCTTGTAGCTGGACTGTCAGCCACTGGGGTTGGCCGTAACCTTGTAGCTGGACTGTCAGGCCCTGGGGTTGGCCGTAACCTTGTAGCTGGACTGTCAGCCACTGGGGTTGGCCGTAACCTTGTAGCTGGACTGTCAGGCCCTGGGGTTGGCCGTAACCTTGTAGCTGGACTTTCAGCCCCTGGGGTTGGCCGTAACCTTGTAGGTGGAATTTCAGTCCCTGGGGTTGGCCGTAACCTTGTAGCTGGTCTTTCAGTCCCTGGGGTTGGCCGTAACCTTGTAGCTGGACTATCAGTCCCTGGGGTTGACCGTAACCTTGTAGCTGGACTTTCAGTCCCTGAGGTTGGCCGTAACCTTGTAGCTGGACTGTCAGGCCCTGGGGTTGGCCGTAACCTTGTAGCTGGACTATCAGTCCCTGGGGTTGACCGTAACCTTGTAGCTGGACTTTCAGTCCCTGGGGTTGGCCGTAACCTTGTAGCTGGACTATCAGTCCCTGGGGTTGGGGGTTGCCTTGTAGCTGGACCTTGTAGCTGGACTATCAGTCCCTGGGGTTGACCGTAACCTTGTAGCTGGACTTTCAGTCCCTGAGGTTGGCCGTAACCTTGTAGCTTGACTGTCAGTCCCTGGGGTTGGCCGTAACCTTGTAGCTAATATTAAATCTGGTAGGATTCACATGAAATGTTAATCAAGAATATATTATTTTGTTGTAGCCATTTTTTTTAATTCCGAAACGTTATAAAGGTTTTTATATAATATATTCCCCCTCTTTGCTGTATTCGTTACAAGTTTCGGAATGCTTATGACGTAGGTTTTCATTTTTATGAACTTATTTACGACTGATTGGTTCTTACTGGACTAAATGACCATATGTGCAGTACAATGTTTATACTGTTTGACCACCTAATTACTATATTTTAAGTATACATTTCTTAATATGTATTTCTATTTATCATTGCACTGACGGAAATGGTAATTACATCGCATACCAAAAAGAAATTGATAAAAGGGTTCAATTAAAAAAGTATTCTGAACCAAACGAAACCCAAAAATTTACTTGAAAATATAATTAGGGATTAAAATGCATTTTTTAACATTTATAACAGGTAGACAATTTCAATAGTTCGTCTTCCTTATTGTGAAGCCTTTCATTCATGTTTAATGACTTGCTATTGTATAACTAACCATTGTAAAGATATGAATGTACTGTTTGTTGTTTCGTTTTTCTTGATATAAACCTTGTCATTCCTGTGCACTATTATTAGATTTCTTAAATCATTTTCCATCTTGTGTGTGTGTATTCTGCGAAATGGTGTAATTCGTTTCATTTTGTATTAAGCATTTCATTGGCCAGTCAAAAACAAAAGTAGACCGCGTTTTTCCCAAGGAGTTTATAAACTTCGTGGAAAAGACGCGGTCGATTTTCGTTTATGACTAGCATATAAGATTGTTTTTATACAGTGAAGCAAATGACAGGGTATAAATATCACCACGACATCAGATTATAAATAGAAACAGACAATAACACTAGCATGCCATGTCGTACTGCGGGAATGACAGACCGACGAGCATTGATTAATCATATTCAAAATGTATTACTATTAGTAAGATATACAATACGAAAAACAAAATATCAAAATGACTGTCAAGTTTTATAATCAATAGCAATAAAAATATTGCTTTTAAGGATATTAAATATATCAATAGTCAGATATACAGTAATGATTACAGGACAAAGAATAGGAATAGTAATAATATTATAATAGAATCACAAATTAAGAATACTAAACAAACGAACGATTACAATAAAAATTGAAAAATAATAGCAAATATCTCATAGAACGAGTGAACTATACAATAGAAATATCTAATAGCAATGGCGAAATTTACAATAGGAATAGCAAATATCTAACAGAAATAGTAAAATTAACAACAGGAATAGCAAATATCTAACAGAAATGGTAAAATTAACAACAGGAATAGCAAATATCTAACAGAAATGGAAAAATTAACAACAGGAATAGCAAATATCTAACAGAAATGGTAAAATTAACAACAGGAAGAGCAAATATCTATCAGAAATGGTAAAATTTACAACAGGAATAGCAAATATCTAACAGAAATGGTAAAATTAACAATAGGAAGAGCAAATATCTAAAAGAAATGGTAAAATTAACAACTGGAAGAGCAAATATCTATCAGAAATGGTAAAATTTAAAACAGGAATAGCAAATATCTAAAAGAAATGGTAAAATTAACACCAGGAATAGCAAATATCTAACAGAAATGGTAAAAGTAACAACAGGAATAGCAAATAGCTAACAGAAATAGTAAAATTAACAACAGGAATCGCAAATATCTAACAAAAATGGTAAAATTAACAACATGAATAGCAAATATCTAACAGAAATTGTAAAATTAACAACAGGAAGTGCAAATATCTAACAGAAATTGTAAAATTAACAACAGGAAGTGCAAATATCTAACAGAAATGGAAAAATTAACAACAGGAATAGCAAAGATCTAACAGAAATAGTAAAATTAACTACAGGAATAGCAAATATCTATCAGAAATGGTAAAATTTACAACAGGAATAGCAAATACCTAACAGAAATGGAAAAATTAACAACAGGAATAGCAGATATCTAACAGAAATGGTAAAATAAACAACAGGAATAGCAAATATCTAACAGAAATGGTAAAATGAACAACAGGAAGAGCAAATATCTATCAGAAATAGTAAAATTAACAACATGAATAGCAAATATCTAACAGAAAGGGGTTGGCCGTAACCTTGTAGCGGGACTATCAGTCCCTGGGGTTTGCCGTAACCTTGTAGCTGGTCTATCAGTCCCTGGGGTTGACCGTAACCTTGTAGCTGGACTTTCAGTGCCTGGGGTTGGCCGTTACCTTGTAGCTGGGCTGTCAGCCCCTGGGGTTGGTTGTAACCTTGTAGCTGGACCATCAGTCCCTGGGGTTGGCCGCAACCTTGTAGCTGGACCTTGTAGCTGGACTATCAGGCCCTGGGGTTGGCCGTTACCTTGGAGCTGGACAGACAGCCCCTGGGGATGGCCGTAACCTTGTAGCTTGACCGTGTAGCTGGACTATCAGTCCCTGGGGGTGGCCGTAACCTTGGAGCTGGACCTTGTAGGTGGGCGATCACTCCCTGGGGTTGGCCGTAATCTTGTAGCTGGACTTTCAGTCCCTGGGATTGGCCGTTACCTTGTAGCTGGACAGTCAGCCCCTGTGGTTGGCCGTAACCTTGTAGCTGATCTTTCAGTCCCTGAGGTTGGCCGTAACCTTGTATCTGGACTATCAGTCCCTGGGGTTGGCCGTTACCTTGTAGCTGGACAGACAGCCCCTGTGGTTGGCCGTAACCTTGTAGCTGGACGATCAGTCCCTGGGGTTGGCCGTAACCTTGTAGCTGAACTGTCAGCCCCTGGGGTTGGTCGTAACCTTGTAGCTGGACCTTGTAGCTGGACTATCAGTCCCTGAGGTTGGCGGTAACCTTGTAGCTGGACTTTCAGTCCCTGAGGTTAGCTGTAACCTTGTAGCTGGACTATCAGTTCCTGGGGTTGGCCGTAACCTTGTAGCTGGACTGTCAGTCCCTGGGGTTGGCCGTAACCTTGTAGCTGGACTGTCAGCCCCTGGGGTTGGTCGTAACCTTGTAGCTGGCCCTTGTAGCTGGACTATCAGTCCCTGGGGTTGGCCGTAACCTTGTAGCTGAACTGTCAGTCCCTGGGGTTGGCCGTAACCTTGTAGCCTGACTGTCAGTCCCTGGGGTTGGCCGTAACCTTATAGCTGGACTTTCAGCCCCTGGGGTTGGCCGTAACCTTGTAGCTGGACTATCAGTCCCTGGAGTTGGCCGTTACCTTGTAGCTGGACTGTCAG